AACAACAACGACCGCGACGCGTTGCTCATTAGAATAAATAAAAAGCAAAGTATGAGAAAAAAAAAAACAAGAACAACAATCAAAATCAACAACAGCAACAAAAGCCGCGTCTGACCCAATTTTCGGTGTGTCGGAATGCCGAATTGTGGCTGTGAATCATGTCACGAAACGAGATGCAAAGCACTAAAAGCCGAGCACCCGCATCAAATACAAAATTGCTGAGCCATGGACTCTGTGACTCTCCCAGTTGGGAGTCTGAGAAATATGTTCAAATAACTTGGCCCAATTGTTCGAAAATGGTAGGAAAAGTCACTTGACCCGAATAAACCCGCCGCCCCCCGAAGCTGTGAACTCTGTGAACACTTTGAGACATTCTGAAAACTTTTGATTTCATTCAAACAAAAAGAAGAAGAAAAAACGCTGACAGAATTTCAGGGAAAGTTTTTTTCCTGCTCAAGTACCTAACAAATGAGATTAAGATGCAAAAGTAAGTCGGCTTGGTCAGTGCCATTCTTTGTTGTTGTTGTTGTTGTTGTTGTTTGGGTTTGTTTATTTTGATGCTGGCGAACAACTTTCGCGCTTTCGCCAACTGAGAGCGCGTCATTGTGCCCGCATCGGAGCATGGCCAATGCCAGACTCAAAGCCGACAAAGCTCTCCATTCAGTTGGCAATTAATTTGAAATTGCTATTTCTTAAAACTAGTTTTTAATTGTCCTTTTGTTTTTAGAAAATACTCAGCTTTTTGCTGCTCGCCCAGCTGTCGACGGGCCAGCTGCCGCAGTCGCAGTCGCAGTCGCCGTCGCAGGCGTCGCAAACAGACTACGGCGAGGAGCCGCCGGAGGGCTACTATGCGTTCGTGGAGTCACCAAATGCGGTGCCGCCGCGCGTCCGTCCACCGCCGTACACGTTCATCAATGCGGACTGCCGGGATGTTGCCACGGGCAAGAAGTCGGCGGTGTCTGTGCACAATATTTGCGGCGATTTGAATAAGGGCCAAATACCTAGAAATCCGCTCGGCCAGAATGTCCTGGGCGAGCCGTATCCCTTGTAAGTGCAAAGTCCAAGATTAGCTCCAGGTCAATTGCTCAAATGTTTCTTGCTCGCAGCGAACTGATACGCAATCAGACCTTGAAGTTTCTGTCGAAGACGCTGCCCGTGCTGAAGGCGGACGACACGCTGCCCAAGGTAACGCAAATCATACGCGACGAGCCGGTCGATCAACTGGACAACAACAATATCGATCGGCATTATGCGGCACGCGTCACCCGGAGTCTGCCGGATGGCGTTGCGTCCAACGAGTATAGCTACTTTGATCCCGCCCTGGACGAGGAGCAGCAGCAGCAGCAGCGACGCGCCGTCGAGGAGCGCAAGCCACGCAAATTCTGCGATGGCGGTGGCGTGTAAGTCCTCACCGGAATTCCAAGTCAAGCTCTTGTGGCTTAACGAGTTTCTGCCTTGATTTCGTTAACACAGATTTTGCACACTCTATCGCGCCATTCAGGGCGACTCGAGTCCCGCTGTGCCCGCTGCTCAGACAGCGGAACGTCGCGAGGAGGTCGGGCCCATACGCTATGAGGGACCGCCGACGCCCTGCCCGGCCAAGGTGGAGTATGCGACGCCTGTGTTCGCGAAGAACTATCAAGGCGCCTGGCGCTATGTGGTGCAGATACCCTACGAGGGTTATTTCACGCAGACCGTGGAGGTGACGCGCTGCATCCAGGCGCGTTGCCATTACCTGGACGGCGGCTGTCTCTCCTCGCCGCGCTGGGTTAGCCTGCTGGTCGCGGAGATTTTCTATCCCAATGCCGAGGACACGGTGCCCAGCAGCAGCACGACCACGCCGGCGCCTTCGGTGCAGGACTTCCAGGCCTATCAACAGTATCTGCAGAAGCGGGCGGGCGTGGCCAACGCCTCCGATGGCAGCACGGCTGCACTGACGGCGGGCGCACCGAATGCGGCACAGGATGCGCACTGCGACGGGCACGACGAGCTGGGCTGCTTCCAGGTGCGACTCTACTACGATTGGTTCTTGATACCCGGCAGCTGCAAGTGCTGGCGTCCCGATTACTTTGCCAAATACGTGCGCCGAAAGTCCGTCGCCGATTTGTAGGCTCCTAGTTAAACGTAACCCTTAGCATATAGAGCGAGGCACGAGCGTGTGTGCGGCATGAAATGCTCATTCTAGCGATCCGAGCACGGGCTGCGCAGAGTTTGCATTTCTTGCAAAACAAAAAGAAAATACATGAATAATATGTGTATACATATATAAATATATTAAAGTAAGCAATTAGCTATCCTTGACTGAATTGAATTTCTACTAATAAATATTTCTGCTATAATTGTACCACTGTGATTTCTGCCTGGGCACAAGAGCTACAGCTTGGCACGCGTTCTGCTATGTTGAAGTGCTGCATGTGTGTGTGTATGTGTGTGTGTGTAAGACCAAAACCTGTCCCGCCAGCCGCTCAACCAGTTGCGCATGCGTGCGCGCTGCGCGACTCTGCAGTCTTCCCAACCAGTCGGTTGGGTTTGGATGTGGATGGTGCCGCAGAAAACCGAGCTGCATTACATAGCCACAAACAACAAAATAGTTGTGCAAGCCAAGGCAGGCAGCAGGCGCCCAAGCAAACGAAGCCTTGACGAACGGCCTCAGAATCTCGCAGCTTGCATTTTGTGTTTCCAGTTTCCAGTTTCCGCAACAAGTGAGTAATTTGGCAGAAATTGTTGAAAATTGTTTGTTTATCAACAAAGCCAACGCGCTCTGATCTTTCACATCTTTGTCTTTGGGCTCATTAGTTGCGAAGTTCGTTGCCTTTCGTTATGCAAATGCTTATTCAAAATTATGCATTGAGCGCAACTGCTAGTGTGGGCGAAATCTTTGATATATATTCAATTTATGCACGACTTTCCATTTGGTTTTGATTTTTGGTTAATTTTTAAGAAGATGCTGTCCAATGGCAGCCAGAGCGGCAGCCTCAGCTCGCTGGACGCGCTGCCCAAACAGTTTGTGCTGTCCATGAAGAAGCTCTTCGACATTCTGGATGATAAGCACAGCGGCTATGTGCGCTATGCGGACATTGAGAAGGGCTGGCAGGACGATGGCTCCAAGGGGCTGCCGCAGGGCGTGCTCGACTCGCTGCGCCGTGTGACGCCGCCCAGCGGCCTGCTATCCTTCGAGCGCTTCTGTGCTGGCCTGAAGCTGTGCTTGTTGCGCAACCAGCAGCAGACACAGGCGCAGATACAAGTCCATGAAAAGCTGATCAAGCCGCCGCGTCCGCCGTCGGCGCCACAGCTGCTGGGCCTGGCCATGGACAGCGGTGCGCCCACGGCCAAGGTACGTCCGCGCTCACAGCTCACGCTAAGCACGCCGCCACCGCTGAGTCCCGAGCGGGAGCATGACGAGGACTATGGTACGCCAGCGCCGCCGCCAAAACCGCCGCGACAGTCGACAACTGGCCCGCCGCTGGCCAAGGCGGACATACGCAACGCGTTGCAGAACTGGCAGCTGAGTCTGATGCACAGCGAGCAAAAGAGCCTGAAGACTGCACGGGAGCAATTCGAGCATCGCGGCTCCGCCGATGGCGGCTCCTCCTCCACATCGGCAACGGATTATGCGCTGGGCAGCCTGACGCTGGCGCTGCCGCCCAAGAAGTCCAATAACAAGCGACGTGAATCGCGCCGGCACACATTGCAGCACGGCATAGACTATAACATGCTGAAGCGACTGAAGCATCTGGAGGAGCAGCGGGAGCTGCTGCTGTTTGGGCTGGATGGCGTGGAGAAGGCGCGAGATTTCTATATGCAGCAGGTGCTCAACGTGCAGGAGCAGATCAAGTATTTTGGACGTCTGGGCACGCGATTCGTAAGTGCCATGCTATCAGCTATAACTACAAAATATATATATAGTAACACTTTATATATATGCAACATTTAACTGCGTTGCAGGAGCAATGGTCTGAGCTGCAGCAGGAGAGACTCAACTATCAGCGTGCTCGCGTCCTGGAAGCCAACCGCAGCTTGGCCCTGTTGACAGACACCTGGGAGCACGGCGGCTATCCACTGCACATTAATCTGGCGCTGCCCCGCAAGTCCCTGCAGCACTTTAACTTTAAGCCGTACGCCGCCAACGATGCCGAGCTGCTGGCCTGCGAGAAGCAGGCGCTCATGTCGGAGCTATATGAGCAGCAGCAGCAGCAGCATACACAGTTCCACAACCTGCGTGCGGCACACACGCGAAATATATCGGACTTTGTGCTGAGCCAGCCTTCGCCTGTGAGCCAATCCTCTGCGGGACTGGGCGATGCGGATGTCGTCTACTAAGCAAAAACAATTTAAAAGACTTTGTAAATATTTGAACATATATTGTAATGCTTAGCAAAGCAGTAGCTGCTACTATTGGGGATTCGGGAAGCGTCTCATGTATTTGTTCAACTGTTTGTAGTTTAGATTATTGCCGGGCTGCACGATGCCCTGGTTGACGGTCTTTTTCGCCTCGAATTTGCGGTCCATGTAGAATTTGTAGCATTTCTGGAACTGGTTGATCTCCTTGTTGCAATACTTCTCCACAAACTCGTTGTCCTTCAGGCAGGCAAAGAGCACACCCATCTCCTGCAGGCATGCCACATCGGAGCCGGAATCGGCCTTGCCACTGACTGTGTTTTTCAGCCGCAGTGGCAATATCTCCTGGAATGGCACCTCCTTTTCGTTTTGTGGCGCTCGACCGCGTGCCGCATATAGAGCCCCTGGTATACGCATCTGTGGGTATTTATTTACTTTATATATTTATTGCAAGTTATTTCGATAATTTACCTTTTTCTTTGCTGCTTGCCTGCTGCTGCAATCAGCTGTGCGCTGTTACGTCAAAGGAGAAGTGTGCGTTTGTCAACACTGTGCGGCAGCAATTTGACGTTGCTCAACACTGTTGGACGTCAACCTCTGATCAACTAAAAATTTACACAAATAAAAAATACATATGGTAGAAATAAATAATACTACAAAACATGGATGCCGTTGATGACAACCACCAGGCGCCGCATCTAGCCGACTTTGCCGGCAACAACGAGGCGGACCGAGAACAGATCGATGCCGCAGCAATAATGAATGATGCAAAACTCGCAACAACTGGTGCTGGTGTGTGGGAACGTCAGCTCTTTCGGTTTCATCCATACCACGGCTCTAACATACGATTAGATGACGATGCGACAGTCGCCTTTCGGCGCACCAGCTTCGCCGATGCACTCACATTCTCCGAGCGACCGTTGGTAAGCACAAATCGCACTCATTCGAAAGAAATCTATATGTATCTATGCGGATGTATGTGTGTGCGGCAGGCGGCACTTGGATGAGCCAAGCATGTTAATTGATTTAGTTTATTTGTTTGTTTTTTTGCAGGCGCCCGGCGAAATCTTTCTAGTGGAGATTGAGAAAATTGAACGCGGCTGGTCGGGCCACATGCGACTGGGCCTTACGGAGCTGACACCGAATGTCATCGGCATGCGCAGCGAGGGATTACCTCATTTTGCACTGCCCGACTTGGCCAATTTGGGCAACAGCTGGATATATCCGATCTCAAAATTCGAGATGAATCAACGTCAGGAGCAAACCGGCGAAAATGTGGAGCTCATTCCAAATGAGCCGCCACATCGTAAGTGCATCTCGGTGTATCCACCAAAATGACTCGGATTGACAACTGCTTCCGTTCCACAGGTAATTTACTGGGCGATGCAACGCATGTACGTACGCCGCGTGGATTACTGCCCAAGCGGCTGTTGCGACCCTCGATGGACAATGGCAACTCCGATATACTGCTCACCGACAGAGGCTCACGCATTGGCATTATGTATGTGCCCACGGAGAATGACGCATCCCAGGGCGAATTGCACTTCATTATCAATGGCGTGGACAGAGGACCAGTCACCAAGGATATACCACTAAATAGGTCACCTTTATATGTTGTTATTGATGTTTATGGCACAACCAAGCAAATACGCATCATACAGTTGGAGGGCAGTAAGTAATCGGATTTCGTTCGTAATTGGTTTCGCCTATTTAAAAAAAAAAAACATCCCTTTTCAGTTCTGTCCTTGCAAAGTGCTTGTCGCAATGTTATACTGGAGCACATCGCAACTGGCGCCATTGCGCGGCTGCCGCTGCCGGAGAGCATCAAGCGTTTCTTGTTGCGCCGAGATTAGGAACTGAGAGACAAGGCACACAGTCACAGACACACTTTATGTAATAGAGTGTTGTTTGTGCATGAGCGTGCGTCGTGATAGCCTGTTTACCCATTTATATATTTTATACGCATCGTAGGCAGCTGAAGTGCCGTTCATTGACTTTTCATTCCTCACAAGCGCCTCTGGCGTACACGTTGCTTGCCCGTCCCTCCCCATCCTCTCAGCCTGCCGTGCTCAATAAAAAGGTGGCTCTCAAGTGGGGGAGACAAACTGTTGCTGTTTCTCCGACGGCTCAACGGTGTTGATGGATATTTCAAACGAATTTGTATTTTTCATTCTGTAGATATAGCTTATAATACTTTGGTTCCGTGATACCAGTTCTTTATATTTATATTTTATATATGTAGAATATTTTTTGAAAGCATCACATGTATTTTACTCAATTCCCCGTCTAATTACGTACATACCAATGAATATGTACAACTCGCTCTGCTTAAACATAAAGAACGAAAGAAACCGAACCCTATTTAAATTCGCAAAAGCCGTATCTCAAAAACCAAGCACCGATCTGCCTTTTATGCCGTTTCGGTCTATCCCAGGGCGACTTCCGTTTCCGTTATGTACCTTTAAGAATATTGTTGCTAAATGTAATGTAAGATATAATTACAATATTGTAGCATGTAAATTCTATGTAATAACACGATATAATATAATAAGGGATAAAAGTGTATGTGCATTGTATGTAATAAAGACATAATATAATAGGACCTAAATTGTATGTGTATTAATATAATAAAGATAAAAGGAAATTATTGAATTTTTTGTAAAACTTAACTTTGTTTACCGCAACACCGAATAAGAGATGGGAAGCTATTTGCACTTTGAGTTTAAGAATTAAATTTGAGTTGATTTCTTCGAATGCCAATCGATAGCCGTGATTCGAACGGGCTTATAAAGTATATCATTGATGATGATTTTACTTCATTTACCTGATATATATTAATGATACTTTGTAAAAACTTAAAATTTTATTTTCCAACTGGCGGGAAATATGAGCCAGGCAACGCCCGCGTAGTGTTTATACATATATATATTGCATAAATGTAACTGCTACTACTTGGAGCGATTCTCGGCCAGTTTGGCCTTGAAGAGCGCCTTCAGCTCCTCAGCACCTTCCACGTTGACGTCCTTGTAATAGGGCAGCTCAGCCAGAGCCTTCAGCCAGGCATGCACCTTGGGAAACTTGAACTCATCAATGGGCGCCACATCATTTCCGGATGTCACGGTGGCCACACAACAAAGGTCAGCAATGGTCACCTCATTGCCGCATAGGTATGTCTGATCCTTGAGGAAGCCCTCCAGTATCTCATAGCACTTCTGCACGTACGCTATCTTGTCGATGGAGCAGTCTGTGGAGCCATTGTAAAGCACAGGCTCATAGAGAAAACGCAAACGGGCAAACAGATGACCCGAATCGAAATGTAGGCGTGCATCCACACTGGCGCGCTGCACCAAATCCTTGGGGTAGAGGGACTCGTGTCCCTTGCCGTATTTCTCAACCAGATAGGAGCATATGGCATGCGAATCTATGATGGTGACATCGCCATCGATCATTGTGGGAATCGTGTGCTGTGGATTCAATTTCAGAAACTCTGGCGTCAGATGTTCACCTTTCAGTAGGTTAATTGGGCTGTGAAAAAAGTTTTTGTTAATTGGCTAAATGCATTGTAAGCGGGCTGAGGAGGAGGAGGGGAAGGGGATCTTGCACCTACCGCAGTTCAAGTTCAAGACCAATCGCCTTGGCTGTGAGCAAGACGGCGCGCGAGGGGGGACTCAGTGTCGCATAGTATACGGCTGGCTTCGTCATGGCTCAAACTAAGTGATAAAAAATAATATTAGATATTTAGTGGAATGTAGAACACATAAGCTCAGGGCATGAGTAATTGTTTACTTCGCTCACGTAGCCAAACACCTCCAGGTAACAGGCCAGCGTTTACCCTGTGCCTCAGGTTTGGCTATGTTTACGATTGTATGCTTGCCTCTATGGCACAATAATAGCTGATAACCCACAGCCGATAAGCCGATATCAAGCACATAACATATGTATGTGTGTGTACAGTGAAAGCTCGCTTAAGCGGACAGCTGCAGTCCCCGTCTGTCTTGTTCGGCGATATGCCAAACAAATAATACAAACATATTTTCATATATTTACATATTCTTATTTATGCCACAGGTAGCAGTCCGCTAGAAGAGCTTTCACTGCATATACCCTGTACAAATCGGACTATCTGCATGTTATCTGCTGACCGGCAAAATGTTGTACACCCAGTTAATATACACAGTAGCTACACATATATATATATATATATATGTATATATAAACACACATATGTACATGTGTATGTTCACATAGACGAAAAAGCGACAGAGCGCAGCACAAACAATATAAATTTAATTAGTAAGGGGCCAGACTTACACACACACACGCACACACATACATATATGCACAAACTAATAGGAAAAAAACGGCCAGATCGTGCCTTTTTATTTTTTTTAAAACCCACACAACAACACTTGCCGTGCCGGCAAATTGTTGTTTTATAGCGTTTATTTGTACGTGTGTGCGCCCGTGTGTGCTTGGCGTGAGAATAACGCCAATATACAAGTCGTATATAATTTAGAGGAGTTCCCTCTATGTTGTATGGGGATTTTGCGCATCCAATCTATATAGACTATATACTTACAAATTGTACACAAATAGCAACAAGTTCGTTTTTTTCTATGACCGCTCGCTTTGAACTCGGAAACGTGACTGAAAACGAATCGCGTAACAAATTTGTGCGAGCAGCGCTCAGTGAATAAAATGAGAGAGTGGGTGTAGAAGAGAGCGCGCGCCAGAGCTTAGAACTCGGATCTCAAATATACACTATGAATGTATGTATGTATGTATGTATTAGTGTGCGAGAGGCGTTTAGTATATTTCTCTTGGTTTATTCATAGAGTTTTGGTGTACATGCGTGTAAACGCGTTATAAGAAGCACGTCAACGAGTATGTCGATTATATATTAACTATTAAATATGATATAATGAATATAATACCAGCATTTTGGGATTTTTGCTTTCGCCTTACGACATTCAATGTATCCGCAACATATACACTATGGAATATACATATATATGTAGATATAATACACAATGACAATTGCCATACAGTGTTCATTATGGAGCACAAAATAAACTATAACAATTGAAAGCAATAATATTTAACGATTTGGAAAGTTGCTTTAAACCGGAGCACAGCTATATCTGGTTATTGCGGACACTCGTGTCGTTATTTAGAGATTGTTCGTATGCAACATCACATTTGTATCTGTTGTTGTTTCAACCAATTTCAACCAATTTCTGTGTTTTTGGATTCGAGAACCAATCAGTTGTCCAGCATGCTGCGCTTTAGCGCCTCCTCCAGATCGGCATCAAAGCTCTCGGGCTTTGAATAGTCCGCCGCAAACTTATCCGCCGGCTTGCCCAGCGCCTCTTTCATCTTCTTGCCGGCGGCGGCGGCGCTGCCATTGTGTTTGCTTTTGTTGGCGTTGCTGTCGTCGAGGGATTTGCCAAAGTCGCTGGAGAAATTGTGTGCATCGAAGGCATCAAATTTAGCAAAATTATTGTCCAGAGTGGTCGAATTGGTGAGCTTATTGGAGCTGAAGCTATCCTCAAAATTGTCATTGAAGGCATCAAACAGTTTGGAGTCCTTTGTTGTCGTCGTTGCGCTGCTGACGGCAGCAAATGCATCAAAAGCGGCCACCTGCGACTTGGTCTTAATTTGTTCGTTATTGGTCTTGGCCTTCAGGGTGTCCAGGTTGTTGTCATTGAAATTATCATCATTAAATGCATTGAAAAAGGAATCATTTAGTTTGTTCACATTTGCATTGCTCTGCGTTGTCCTTCGCGCCGCTGGCGGCTTCTCCAGCGCAAAGTCATCAAAGTCGGCGAATGCATCCAGCGCCTTGGGTTGCGATGCGCTCGAATGATGCGATGGCGCCGGACTGGCATTCAGATTGAATGCATCAAATTGTTGCAACAATTCGCTGCTGAGCGGCGTGGCCGTCTTTGATTTGTTATTGTTATTAACGGGCCTGCATGCGAGTTCATCTGCAAGTGGAAAAGAATTATGAGTATAGTTTTTATAATTTGAAGTAGCATAGAAGTGGCCATCTCCAAGCCCATAAACCCCATCGTTCTTGTTCTTTGTTTAAAGCCATTTCCAACTCACCCTCCGAGCTAAAGTCTTCGGCAAAGTTCTTTTTGCTAGCTCCGCCCGCGGATGTACTCTCATCATCGTCTGCAAAGGGATCTTTGATATTGAATGGATCTTCATAGCGATAGTCCTTGAAGGGATCATCCTTAAAATCTGTTGGCCCTTGTATAACTGCAGGCACTGGCGTCGCTGCCTGCTTGCTGCTGCCGCCGCCAAAGGCATCAAAGAGGCCCGTCAGTGATCCTGCGCCTGTTCCAGTTCCAGTTCCTGTGACCGCTGTTGCCTGTGTCTGCAGCGGTGTATTGGAACGCGACAAATGTTGGTTATTTGTGCTGACCTGTGTGGAGGCTGATGCGGGTGCTGATGTCAATGTTGATGTCGATGCCGATGTCGATGCCGATGCCAATGTCGATGTCGATGATGTCGATAGCAGTGTGTGCTGGGAGGCTTGTGGGTGGTGCAGTGGCAGTGGCAGTGGCAGTGTTTGTGTACTAGTACTGGCTCCCTTACTCTGGCTTTGACTCTGCGGATCATCGAACAGCGAGAAGCTATCGAGCAGCGTGGCGCTTAACGCTGGTGTTGGCGTGTTGGTATTCGAGTTACCGATTGGAATGTTTTGTAGCTGTGTCAGTGGGTGAAATGAGCAGAAAAAAAAATCGGCGTGTTTGTGTGTGGAAGGAATAAAAATAAACATAAATCAAATTAATTTAAAAAAAAAAAAAACAAATAATAAAAACAAACTATCAGTGTATATACAAACAACAGTGAGGAGTTCAAACCAAAAACCAGAAAAGATTAAAAAAAAAATTAAACACACTTTAAGCTATGTAGCTGCTGTGGAAGAGAGAGGAGCACACCTGGATAAAACAAAGCTGATATAACCGGATGCGACAAAAATGTTTCTTTATTTTCGTTATGGTTATATTTTTTGGTTTATCATAACTCACTTGTTATAGTATGTATTATAATTGTTATTATTAATGATGTCGAACATAGATATTTATCTTGTTTAATTAATGCAAAAACTTGTTTATGTTACACATTAGTAGGGTACCCATTATATGTATAAGTATGTATGTATTTATTAAACATTAAAATCAATGTACGGGAAGCTTTAGGTTTCGGTATCTGAACAGTTTCGTGGTTGTAGTATATAGTATATCTTTCAAACAAATATCGTCGTAACATACAAAAAAAATAGTTCTGTGTGGGACTCGATTATCATTTATCGTTTACCAATTGCCGTTATTCGATCCAACTCCTACAACTCCCTACGCCTAGTCGATGGCAATGTGTCTTTTGAAGGCATTAACAATTTGATTCAATAACCGGCCGATTCGATAGCTCTAGTTGGAAAGCAATACGAGTACGAGAGTTAAATGTAACTTTCGTTTCTGGGAAATGATGATTCAATAAACAGGGTAAAGCAATCTTGGAAATTACATGCTAATGAAATTCGAGCTATATATTATGTGGATCCATAGGTTGTATATGCGCTTATGTAGATGTCTCGAACAGCAATTATATAATATTTTGTTTTGTATAATTGCTATAAACTTTAGTATCATATGCAGAAACAACAACAATTTGCATTTAAATTCCTTAATTGAGTTACATATCAATCTATCAATCATATTGCGACTAGCATTTCCTTCAAACTAAACTTCCGAAGTATGAATTATTCTTTTTATGATTAATAATAGATATGATTATTTGGTCTTTAAACGAAAAGAAATCTCAATAATGCAATGCACGTAATTATAATAATTATAACATTTGAAAGTGTGACGTTCAATTAATTTAAAACTTTAATCTTTGACTACATTAAACACGACATAACTTTTTCTGGGTTCTTCAAATATCAATTGAGTTATTTTTTGGTTTTTTTCGAATTCGATTTAGTACATTTATCTAATTAGGCATGAAAATTGCGAGTATTCTAACGGCCTGTGTGCAATACGAATACGAATACGCTGCCGAATCGAACTCTGATATATGGATTTTATATGCAATGTTTATATATATATTATATGCAATTAGGTTTTGTACGCTTAAAATTTGTTGCTAGGCTCAACTTTTGACTGAATATGTGTTTTGGTGTGTTTGTGAGTGTTTGTTAGTATTATTATATTAACTTTGTTATATTATTTATATATATATATACATATAATTATATATATATATATACATATATTTATATGCATTTATTGAAATATGATAGTTATTAAGATGTTCACTGAAAATAGAGAATTGCAAGAGATGAAAGCAAATAGTTAGTTTCGTACGGGCAGCAGAGTTAAGGCAATGTGTTTAAGGAACAGATACCTCTTGCATATTAAATACATTATTGCAAAATGATACTCAAAAGGTCTATTAAGAAAATAACATGTGCAAAATAGTGCTTGTTTATTTGTTTGGTGGCATTTAGTCAATCAAAAATTAAAACAACTACAACAATTTGGAGGTGGGTTAGTGATAATAATTAATAACGATAGTAATAATTGAATAATCGCAGATATATATATGTGTATATAATGCCATGTTAATGCAAACGAAAACTTAACAATTGTGAAAACTTTAACTAATTAACAAAATAATTGTTGCTGTGGTGCGGTGTGCATGCATTACCACCGATCCCAATGTACATTAAACTTGCTACCAACCTTATTGTCAAAGTCTTCGAAATCAGCAAATCCTCCGCCGCCGCCAGCGCTAGAGCCGAAGCCGCTTGTTGGCTAAAACGTAGCAAATATTAACAGATATTATTAGTTATTTGATTATGTTAAACTCGTCCATTTACCTGAGATGCGCGTGGTGGAGCTGGTCTGGGTGGCGGCACCTTGGATTTTTTTGGTGGCAATGCTGGACTAGGTGACTCCGGTCTGGGTGGTGGGCCTGAACGTTGCGCATTGGGACTGAGCACCTGTCCCTGACCCGTGGGCGCATGCAGCGCCGCAAATGGATCGCTGCCAAAATCATCCTTGCCGGGCTGTGTATATGCATTCGTTTATATAAAAACTATATTGTTCAAAGCAAATCGTATTAAGTAGCACTCACCTCTGGCGTTATGGCATTGGATTTAGTTGCAGCGAATGCATCAGAACCAAATGGATCGTTGCGTTGCGTTTGCCCAAAACCACTTGTGTTGCTCTGGCCAAACGCATCAAAGCCACTATCAAAGCCGGCGCTCATGTTGAAACTATCATCAAAGCCGCCGGTAATGGTGGGCGTGGGTTTGCTGGCCTGGCCGCTAAAGGGATCGTTGCCAAAGCCATTGGTAGCCTTGTTGGCAGCACCGCTGTTATTCTCCTCGAAGGGATCTTCTTTGGACATGTCGATTTCTTTTTGCAGCGTTTTGCGCGCATCATCAAAGTCCGGCTCGATTTTTAGCTGATATTCCGAGACTAGCTCAGCATTTTGATTCTCCATGGCGGCGCGACAAATGAGCAGCGCATCGGTCATTTGGCGCTGCGTTTCCATCAGCTGGGTGACCATGGAGCGCACCTAAAATAATTGAAATACAAGTAAAGACTCATCTATATTAATATGTATTCATATTTACGGAGCTAATCTGCAGCTGAGTATTCTGCAGATGCTTGGTCAGCTTGGATAGTTCGCGATTGTTGTTATCGTATTCCTTTTGCAGCGCCGACTCCTCATCCTTGAGCTTCTGCAGCTCCGATCGCTTAGCATTCAGTTCACCCTCCTGTTCGTTGATAGTTTCCTCCTGCTTGTGGCACTGATCTCGTATCTTAATGACCTACAAAAGCAGATAAACATCAAATTAATTAAAATCAGATATTGTTTTCATATCTTAGCACAATTAAATAAACAAACATAAACACAAAACATATACAAAAAAAAACATACAAACACATAAAGCACAAACAAAAACGATAATAAATAAACAAACCTGATTGTTGGTGCGGTTAATGTCAAGACTTACATTGGCCAGCACGGCCAAATTTTGGGTCACCTTAACGTAACGTATAGTTAAATAGTTTAAAGTGCATTCACCAATTTAGTATGAATAATTTGGGTAAAATAATTGCGTACCAATTTGTGTTAACAATGGAGGAACATAGTAAAGAAAAGGGAAATGGAAATCATATTCAAATTAAACCCGTTTAAAAGTCAAAGGTAAACTAATACTATTAATAAATAACTGCAGTAAGTAAACCCAAAAATTCAAGCAAATTAATGCAGACTTCATGCAACGATAACTACTTGAGCCTGTAGATCGTCCAGACGTTTCTGTGCCTCGCCGCGCTGATTCTCCAGCTGCTTCAGCGTGGCCGTCAAAGTGTCCAATTCGCTCTGCAAAATAAACGATCTCAGTTATTGTACATTTCTTTATTATAGTAGAAGGATTATGGGCTACCGACCTGCAAGCTGCGCACTTCGCCATTTTTGATGCGCACATCGGCCTCCTTTTGTGCTATTTCCGTTTCCAGGGCACGTCGCTCGCGTGCCAGTTCTTCAATCTCCTTCGATATCATCTCCAGTTCGGGATTCGAGTAGGTTGGCTTCGCCTCCTGCGGCTGCATGTCCACGCCGGAGACTATTGCACGCATCGACGGCGGCACCATATTGGCTGTGAGCACCTGAGGCGGATCCACGCCGCGTTGTTTGCGCTCCACAAGCCACATGGCCAAAGCGAACTGCTCTACGGTCAGCTTGCCCGATTGATTGGTGTCGCAGAGCGCCCTGGTTGAAGGATATAACAGAATGGGTTAGTTTCGCAAATTTAAATTATGTTATATTACATTGCAATCCTTACCAGATATCTGCGAGGCTGCGTTGTGGTATACCCGATTTAATGAATATGTCCTTCACCTCGAGACCGGACACTAGGCCGTCCTTGTCCAAATCCGACTGCCGGAAAATTTCCTCAAATCGAATTAGTTCGTTCGCGCTGACCACCCAATCAGCGTTGGCCGTCACCGATGGTGGTGCTCCAATAGGTATCAGTGGATCAGTTTGTATCAGAGGCTGTGAGCTAACCGCGCCCACCGGTGGAATGCGCGTCATGGGTGGTACAGCGACGGGCAGTGGTGGTATTGCTGCCGGCGGTGCAATATCTTTGGGAAAGTTGGCCACAAACCCAGCATCGCCGAAACCCTCACCGCTCGGCGCTCGCGGCATGGGAGCGCCAACAATAGCAGCTGCCGCTGGCGGCGGTGGCATGGCGGGTTTGGGCGCCTTGCGCAGCTCTGGCGGCAGCACACTGGGCACTGTGCGCTTCTGGAGTGTCTGGTAAACCAGATGCATGGCTACTATAAACTCGTGCTTATCCAGATTGCCATCCTTATCCTGATCAGCTAAATCCCAAATGGTGCCAAGTATGTTCATGGGCAGCTTGGAGTCCATGAGCACGCCCTTCACTTTGTTGCCCGGCAGCATACCGTTCTGCGGATTCAGCGACTCGAACAGTTGCTCGTATTTAAGGCGATCGATAACGCTGATGGTCCAGTCCCCGCTGGAGGCACCGGCGCTCGCAACTGGCACCGTCTGTATGCGGGTGGGTATTGCCTTTGGTATTTCACCCTGGAAAAGCACGTTGACACAGATTAGTTCCTGGCTGTTGTGTAATAACTTTCTGATCACTTACCACTTTCGGCGGATTGACTGTGTCCACGTAGATGTTGTTCATGTTGGCCACCTGGCCGGCTTGCGAGAGTGAGACCAGTTTAAGGGCAACAAAGAAGCCTGGCTTGTCCAGAAAACCCTTGCCATTCGGATCGGACAGATCCCAGATGCGGCTGAGCACCACATCGCTGAGACCGGACTTTTTCAAGAACTTGGCGGCCGTCATGGCTTCGATGGCACCCGTGCCCTTTGGGTCAATCTACAAAAATTTGGCACAAGCGCGAAAAAAATCAATAAGAGGGGTTGCAAATCGCCCGCAACCGAAATTCCAGCGGACGCGTTACCTGTTTATAGTAGGCCTCGTAGACGAGATTGTGCTTGCCGCACACCCTAGCAAAATCCAAATTCATGTTGACTCCGTTCGGTATTAGTCACAAATTGTATGCAGCAAAAGCAACGGCCTCTGCCTCGAGTTGTAAGCGTAAGCGCTGTTATCACTATCACAAAATCGATTTTTTTTTCTCTTATTGGTGTAAGGGTAAGGCGAGGGCGGAACTCGCTCTAATAGTAGCGTGTGTGTGTTGTTGTACGGTGGCCACCCACCTTTATTTCAAAGCGCCGCGAGTTGCACGTACAACTAGAACAGTTAAAGTGTTGCAGTTGAGCACATTACGGCTACAATTTAATTACACACTTGAAATTTAATTTTGCTTTTGCCTTTTTCAGCATCGGCCTCTAACTAGTGTTGAGCAACATCACAATTACGCTCAGCTACTGCTTTGCCAACACTGACGGCAGGGCTGCACTACATGCAGTTTGAGAGCCACTGCATGCCTAACGCTCAATATTTCAAATTCGATTTGATTAAATAATTTTATGATTTTCTTGAAAATATGTTTATGAATTTAATTATAGTTTTATTCTTAATGTGCTTAATTGCTTAACAACTGGAAGCAGCAGACTACATATATAGATATATAATTTAAAGTAAACGTATTCGACAATTGGTGGCGCCGCATTGACAATAAAGAACCTTGCCGGGCACCACGCCCACCTCATAGTTATAATTCCAAGTGAGTTCGGTGCCGGAGCGTATGTGGTTGGCCGAGAAGAAAGCGACCCAGGGAAAACGCAGATCGTGCGTGTCCACAAAAACGTTCTGCACAAACAAATTGGGTGCACATGAATGCTGCAAGCGAAAGAGTATAATTATAGATTATGAGAGCAGATCGTGACGTACGCACTCCTTACATTAAAGTAACGTCCCAAATTGCCAGTTGTCTTTGCGTCCATTATGTAGGGCGCCTCATCTTTCCCAAAGAGTCGTCGCACTGAATTTTCGCGCACCGTTTCATCCAGATCTGCATTCGGATTAAAATTAATCACCGCGCGCTCTTGAGAGTCCGGTTCATTGGATTGGGTCGAGTGGCTACGGGAGACACGCAGTTTATCCTTCTTGCGCGGTTGATAATACTTGGCGGGCGTAAAGTCAGCATCGTCCTCCGGATCTGGCACATTAGTGTCTTCTTCCTCTTCCGTTGCCGAGTGCTCAACATCCGATTCGTAGCCCTCCTTTAGCTGCTCGGCCACCTCAATGTAGTCCAAATCGGCAAAGTACTCATCGCCTGCATCCAAGCCACCCTCGTTGGCCATAGTCTCGGTCAGCAGGTGGCCGGCATAAATGCATATGAATGCACCCTTGGGTATATCGTTCACGCAGCGCAAGCCCCAACCACGATTCGAGGTCTTGAAAACCTGCAGCTTCATTTCCAGCGAATGCTGCACCACACGATTCAGACAGTTCTTTTTACACTTGCAGCGCGAATTGCATTCATAAATGCCAGTTGTCACCTGCTCATGTAGACGCTTATATTGATACCCAATCTCCTCGATTGGCTTGTTGGGATTACAGTATCGGACACCCGCAACCGTGAGCTGCCAGCAGGCGCACTTTGATTTGTCCTGCAAATAAAACACATTAGATGGGTTGGACATGAGAGCTTAACTCTCTTACCGAGCAATCGTCCTCACAATCACAGCCCACCAGGAACTCCTCGTCCAGATTCAGATGCACACCCTCTGTGGGTATACGCTGTTTGGCGTAAGTGCAGGGCGGTGGCAATGTGTTGTCATAGTAGTTGACCAGCGGTATGGCCATTTTCTCTTGACCCTTGGATATATCCGCTTCCTTAACTATAGTGGGATCAATAGAGTACTCCGCCAAGCAACGCAAATCAGGCGTAAAATCAAAGTTCTCCACGTTTAGTACATTGTCCGTGGCACGCAGATAAATATGCACCTCGGCCAGATTGCGAAAGCTCTTGCCACAGGGGCCCCGATAGACAACGTTGCGCTTAGCCTTTTGCTTGAACACCAAACGCTCCCAGCCAGACAACAGTGGCTTGGCCAGCGGACTGTAGCTATCCAGACGATGGACAATCTTGAATAAACAGGCCGGCGTGCACTCATGCGGTGTGTACATTTTGGGCGGCAAATTCCGCTTGGCTGTGAAGTAGACAACATGACCCTTGGGCCGATTCTCATCGTCGACATAGATGGTGGAGTTGTTCAGATGGCGAACAGTGTTGCGCGCTGCAGCAGCAGCAGCATTGGCAGCGGCCGCTGCAGCAGAGGATGACGATGACATAATAACATTCTGCGGGGCCGCGCTGCTCTTACGGGCAATGGCGCGCATTTGTTGATTCACCTGTCTGCTGCTTGTCTCCATCTCCTTGGTGTATCGTATGAAAGGCTCGGTGCGCTAAATAAAGAATTGGCATTATAATTAATATTAAGTTTTGGTATCTAGTGCAACTCACGCGCGGCACACGATGCTGCTGCATGGCATTCGCGCTGTTAAGCGCATTTTGTGTCTCCTTAAACACCGGTCCCAGACGCAGGGAGCCACGATAGATCCACTCGGTGTGATTCTTGTCATCGTCGAACTGCATCTGCACCAGACTGCAATCAATATCGATCACGCGCGCATATAACCATGTGCCATTTGACTCCGTATTCATATTCTGGCCACGGGTGCACTGCACCATGGGCCGATCCACTGAGTATTTCTCCACATACTTTTGTATAAAGTCTCGCGAGCCGGGATGCACATCCTCCCACACTTTTTCCGATGCCTGGCAAACCAAACGCACATCGTTATGCTGAACATACTGAGTATAGCCGTCATCATAAAAGATGAGGTATCTAAAGCGATTGGCTTGCTTTAACGGCTCGGCTATAATGCCTGGGTAGAAGGCGCTGGGTACCACGCCTTTTTCCTTGCCGCGCGACAAGGTGCTGCCATTGAAATAGGCTATGACACGCGTGCCTGCCGATCAATCATAGTAAATATTGGAGATTAATGGGAATGAATAGATTCGGTTTACCTATAGTCAGGCGCACGGGCGGCGGCTCAAAGTAGGCTAGATGTTTGGCTGTTACGGTCTTTACCATTTGATATGGCGTATTCAGATACTTAATCTTGTAGCTCTTAACCAGGTTGCCGCCCACTGTGGTGCTCTCCGTGAACTCAATCACTTTGACCGATACCCAGCTGGCAATTGCCTTGTTCTTCACCGCATAGTAGGTCTCATTGAGCTGTATTGGCGGACGCTCTATCTCACCAGCTGGCGGCACTTGCTGCAAGATATTCAAGCTAGTTAATAATCTTATTTTTCTTTGATGATCAGTTACACCCACCACATAATCACTCATGTTCTGGTACAGATCAAGTGGCGGCAAATGTTTGTGCACCACTTGACAAGAGCTGTACAAAGCGAAGTGCATTTTGTCGGCCATATTTTGCAGCTTACTCAGCTCGTCGTTGGCAAGCTCGAGTTCACGGCTTATGCGCTGAGATTTTGCTTGCAATATGCTCTTGGACCAAGCCATTTGATCGTCCAAATCTACCCTGTCAATTACAGTCCTGATCGCATCCTCCAGCTCTTCTTCAATTAGCTCCAAATCATTTGCCGAGAATTCGGGTTTGTCTGCCAATTTTTAATGATTTTTTAATATGTTTAATAAAGCTATGGGTGCATTTACCCTGCTCTTCATCGTTCTCCTCCTCGTCACTGCTGTCCAGTGCTACAAAGTCTGCATGATCCTGGTTAAAGCTGCGCAACAACAGCGGCTGCTTCGCCACCAAATGGCCCGCATAGTCCTACAAGATTTTGGGTGTATAGTATACCATGCCTAGTTTTATATTTGTGGTTAGCTACTCACCTCGTACATGTCCATAGCCGTGTCATAGCAACCCAGGCAGATGTACTGCCGCTTGTGCGCCTTTCTGGGCACCTTGTAGTAGTTGAGCGCTGCCAGGCTGGCACGAACGTATTGCTTATGCATCTTCTCGCAATTACAATTGAGGCAATCCTTCTTGTAGTAGATTTCATTATCCGCCTCAAATTCCAGAGATTCTTTTGTGTCACCTTCAGGGATCGTTTCTTTTGGCAGCTCGACGAGACATCCATTTTCTACGTCTTCCTTGCAGGTTTCTGTTTCCATGGCCTCCGCTTGCTGTGATTCCTCTTCTGGTACATATTTGTCTGAATTGGGCACATCATCAGTTTGCACTGGAATTTGATCTGGCAAGGGGGGATCTGCGCTGGGGGATGTGGGCGCAATTTCTTCAATTGTAGTTTCAGTTGGCACAGTTATATCGGACTCAGTTGTTGGTTTGGGATCTTCTTCCTCTGTACTGTCATCCTTACTAATTAGCTTAAGCTCTTCCCCTATTCCTTCGTTGTCGGGAAAACTATTTGATGCCTCCATAGCTTCTGGTTTAGACGCTGCTTCCTCTGGGCATAAATCTTGCTTGGGACCTTCAATAGGGTCTTTGTCCGGACTGCTAATCAGTTCAATGCTGCTGTCGCTGTCCACCTTACTATCCGGTAAATTATCCTTGGCGGGCAGCTCTTCCACTGCGGGGCTATCGATCAATTCAACGCTGCTATCCAAATCATCTGCGATTACCTTAGCCGCATCAGTTGAATCAATTACTAAGCCAGCATCTTCCTTTGTTGAGGTCGCATCAGTTTCCTCAATAGAACTTTTATCCTTGTCTGTTCCATCTGGCTGATCGGTAGTTGGGCTACTGATCAGTTCAATTGAAGAGTCTGTATCTTCTTTAAATGTTATTTCGCTGACGCTCTTGTCTTGATCTGCTGTATCCGCTTTTGTTCCGATGCTGTGGTCGGTTTCAGATACTTTAGTTTCGTCTCCTTCAAGTTCAGCGGCTAAAGGCTCGACACTTTGCTCAGAGGCTGAATCCATCGGTGGCTCACCCGGCAAGTCATCCAAGGCCATTGGCTCTTCGCCGCTAGTTTGTTCCTCCTCCTTCGTCTTCTCCTTCTCAACCAACGGTTCAATTACTCCCTCAGTGGTTGTTTTCCTCGCCGGCAAAAGTGTTTCACTTGCAGCTGCCTCAGTTGATGCCGCATCCTCGTTTTCCATGGAATCCATTGCAGCCGACTCTGTGGCCATATTGTATTTTAAAATTATTAACTTTTATTTTACAAAAAATACCATTGAAAATGTTTTAAAAACTATCCTGCAAAAAAAACAAGACCAGCTTCTACAACGGTGTTGCGAAATTTGTACGCCTGATTAATTGTGGCGTTTACCAACACTCTATTAACAAAAAGAAGCATAACAAGTCATTCATTTCGATTCTTCTAGTTGGCGCTCGAAATAATTGAATAAATAAATTTGTTTCAGATGTTCATGCGATTTATTGAATTTTTATCTTCGTTACGACGATCCGTCAGTTTTTAAGACTGCTTAATGTCGGGCTTGTAGCCGTTCTCATCGGCGGTATAGGTTACCTTGATGGACTTGCCCTCCTTTGATATGTATTCATATGATCCCTTAACAGAGAGAGTGTGAGGGTCTTTCAGCTGCCCATCCTGATTAACTGAGGTGCCGTCAGAAGTTTCCCAGACGTATTTGAAGCTGTCAGGATTCACTTCATTGTATTCTTTAACAACCGTCGAAGAATCAGCGTAGGCAAGGGCCAAAAGGCAGGCGAAGACAATCTAAATAAATTATAGTTATAGTCTTTTTGCAAAAGAGACATAAATTTGAATATTAATACTAACCACAAACTTCATGTTAATAAGGATACTCAGTTGTCAGTCAGCAAACTGCGAAACAGAACTTAATGAAATCCACAATTTGGCTATGCTTTTATAGTCATCCGAAAGTCGGATGACATTTCGCGACTTGTCCGACGACTGGTCTAAATTTAATCAAACTTGATCTTAAACAGTTTGTGTTAATAACACAGAGTCTTCGATGCAGTCATGTCCATTATGAACATTATCATTTTTTATTAATGATATATGGATTATAATAGAATTGCACCAAATCCAAAGCCGCACAAATGCAAAGTCTAAAATATCTTAAAACAAAATGCCGAGCATGTGCAAAATTAGTTCTTACTTATCAGTTATATCATTTAATGAAATCGCCAAAAAATTCAATTTCCATAATATATATATAACTCGACCGGTTTGCTGAACATTTCTTACTTTTTTCTTTTCGAATGCACCAGACTAATTAGCTGGAGCAATAGCCGGTTTTGAAAAAAGAGATGCGAATAAACCAGACGGAATTACATGTCATATTAGTGCCAGTGTTAAATTTGACAAAATTGTTGAAATAAGTTAATTAATGAATTATAGAAACTAATTCGAAAGACGCGCAAACTAGATCCCTTTCCAATACTCAAGCAAGAAGAGGAAGCATGCATTGCAAATTGAACATTCACAACGCGAGTAAACATTTGACACGTGCTGAAGCGGTTTTAGTTTTGTTTAGATTGTTTTTATATTATTAGAAAACAATGGCCGGGAATGACGGCGACTCGGACTCTAGCAGCGACTATGAGGTGGAACTGCATGTAAAGGCTAAGAGAGTGCGTCGCTCAGTCAATGATGATACTGCCGATCTTTTGGGTAACTTCGATGACGAGAAACGAAAGGAGATTTTTGAAGGTACTTATGTAGACAAAGAAATCACAAAAAATCCAAGCGATTCGGATAGCAGTGATGAAGCCGGATCTGAACCCGGTGAAGACAACGACGACGCAGCAGTGGATCAAGTGGCTGATGCTGCGGGTGCTGACAGCGACGCCTCCGCGTCCGAGGAAGAACCTAATGCCGATGGACGCATAACCAGTGACCAGTTAAATAGCTTGCTGCGTGGTGCCTCCAAGGTGAACAGACACGTGCTTTACGTTACAAATCTCAACTTTGAGACTACAAAAGATGATCTGGAGTCACACTTTGCGGTGGCTGGAACAGTTAAGTCAATACGCATCCCTAAGAAACGCCGTGGTGGTTTTGCCTTTGTGGAAATGGTGGACTTGTCGGGATTTCAGCATGCCTTTCAGCTGCACAATACAGAGCTACAGGGCAGAAAAATAAAGGTGCAAATATCCGAAGCGGGTAAAAAGAAGTCGGCCAACAAGAAGAACATAATCAAACAGAAAAATCGCAAGTTGGCCGAGATGCGCAACGAACAGAAGACGTTTACAAAGAGTGGCAAATTCTACGATAAGGACTTGAAGAAAGAGAAGGCCAAGGAGCTGCTGGCGCGTAAGCGCTGGCGTAAGCCTAAGGCTAAGTAATATTTATACGCTAATGTAACAACTTAGTAGAAGACTATTATTTAAATATAACTTAAATATTAGAAAACAAATGAATATATGTATATTTTTACTTTTGCCATCGCACAATGTAAAAGTTGCGTTTACCCACGCGCAGTAAGGACACACCATTACGGAGAATGTGTATGCCGGTAGTGATAACTTCCGCAATGTTCTGTACACGCTTCTGGTTTATATAGAATCCACCAGCATTGATGATACGCACAGCATCAGCTAAATAGAAGCGTTTTTAGATACAAGTGTGTGTTATATTCGGGCGTAACTTACTTTCGGTAGGAAAACACTTGGCTTTCATTGCTAGCTGCAGAATGGACATGCCCGGTTCAGTAAGTATATCAACGACGGCTGCACCTTGAAACGTTTGTTTGATTTCAGCATAGTTCAACTCGGCCAAACCGTCAACGTTGCCCTTGTAGAGCGCATTGGTGACGCGTTCCGCTTGCTTTAAGCCATGCTCTGCATAATGAACATTACAGCATTTAAATAAATAAAACAAATCTGTATTTACCGCCATGCACCAGCAAGGTGACATCTTCCGCCAGTAGCGTCTGCGCTTTGCGTTTTTCCGGTTCTTTGGCGTGCTCTCGCATCAGTTGCTCCACCTCAGGCAGGGGAATAAAAGTGAACAGTTTCAGGAGCTTCTCCACTTCAGAGTCAGGCATGCGCAAAAAGAATTGATACAATGCGAATGGGGATGTCTTATTTTCATCTAGCCATACTGCATTTCCTGACGACTTTCCAAACTTGTCTCCTTCCTCATTGGTAACTATTGGCAGTGTCATGCCAAAGACTTCACGATCGCGCTCAACCCGACTTATCAATTCGTGTCCCGTCATTAGATTACCCATTTGATCGGAGCCACCCATCTGGACGCAACAGTTGTGTTTGCGCAGTAAATGCAACCAATCGTAGGCCTGAAAGATCTGATACGTAAACTCCGTAAAGCTCATGCCCTCCTCCGATTCCAAGCGCGACTGGACAGAGGATCTCGACAGCATTGAGCCCATACGAAAATGTCTACCCATATTGGCAACAAAGTCAATCAAATTTAGATTCGCATACCACTCGGCATTGTTGACAATTCTATTGAAAATTGATGGTACTTATAAGAAGGAACTCTTGTACATATAATACTTACGTTAGCGGTGCGAGCGCAGAGCTGTTCTTTCGTGTATCCCACAGGCAATCCTCATGGTTCTTAAACACTTTACGCAGTTGTCGCTCAATGGCCTGCAGGTTCGCGTCAAGCACAGACTCGCCCAACTGATTGCGCTCCGTTTTACGTCCACTAGGGTCACCGATCAGGCCAGTGGCGCCTCCGACCAGAGCTATTGGCTTATGGCCGGCACGCTGGCAGTGCAAAAGACCCATAATCACAAGTAAGTTTCCAACGTGCAAGCTGTCGGCAGTGGGATCAAACCCAGCATAAATGCTTTGGGCTGATCTCTCGAACAGTTCTTTTAACTTTGGTCTAAAGAAAAACTGATTTTCATACAATATTTTGGCAGGGTTATAAAATAAACTTACGCTGCAGTGTCTGGAAAAATGCTCTGAAAGAAACCGCGCTCCGATAGTTCCAGCAGATTTTTGTGTGTATAATTGCGTTTAAAGTTGCAGCAGCTGCTGCGCAGGGGCCGTAGCAGGCGAAATCTTAATGTAAGCATTGTGGATAATATATCACAGATTTTAAACTGTGTTGCGGCAGTATAAACTAAAAGTTGAGGTTATGCTGAATGTTTTGCTATTTGGACATACAGCTGGCGCGCAACAGCTGTGGCGCTATAAGGTTGTGATTTTCAGAAAGTGACGTCACAATTGCATGTTTGACTGCTGGCTCATGCGAGTGAATCGCGTAACCTTCTTGCTCGTTTGCAAATCGTATACGATGCATTTGTGTTTGTGTTTGTTTTTCAAAACAAAGACATTTTTTAATTGAATGCCTAATACTGTGTCTGCGCTGTAATGACAGTTTTTGTATTTAATTGTTGACAATGCTGCTAAAAATTCGCCACGCACTGCTTGAAGTGACCAATCATCAAGTATCCAAGCAGTCAGCCAAGCAATCGGCGGTTATAATCAACAACGAGATCATAATTAGCTGTGGCAACATATTGCAGCCGTTCATACGTCCAGATGGAGAGGGAGTGAAAATTATCCAGAGCTTGCAGCAGTGCAAACTGGTCGATGCCCAGGACGGACACTGTGCTGAGGGCAAACTGCTGCGCACTTTAAGTTATCTGGTGACCTTTGATCGACAGAGTCGCCCACTGACCGATCGCAGTGCACAACAAAATTCTGGCCATTCAGCCCACATACTAACGCGCTATACAGCCCAGCCTTTGTATGTGTTCTGTGCCGCAGAAGTGTCGCGCAATCTGCACAAGATATTGATGAATGCAGACAATGATGAACAAAATGTGCTGCGCTCTAGTTTTTTGGTGCTCACTATGCGGGAGTTAAAGGAACGTGAATCCTTTAAGCGTTTCCTTCAGCACATTGCCAGCTATTTGCGCTACCTGCAGCCAATTCACACACTCGACGATGTGCTTGTTATGTGCTCGCCCTTTGGCTTGGAGAACTTCTACAAAACCATAAGCATTGGCAAGGTATCCAATGTGATGGGCAGCTCTCTCTTTGGTCTGTCTAATGCATTGCCCCTAGGCTGCGAGGGAGCTGCGGTATTCAACAATAAGCTGTACGTTTTCTTAAAACATTTAAATGTTTATGTGCATCTATATATATGGATTGTCTTTTCAGCCGGCTTATAGGCATTATCATATGTACTTCGTTCCAGAGGGAACAGGAAAATGTCAACCTGACTTTGGCTGCCAATTTTGGTTTTCTTTTGCGAGATTTTATGGAACAACTAGGCACCCCCATTACTATGCTAAACTTGCCACGGGTGCCATCCGATTTCGCGTGTATGTAATATGAAAATTTCTTTTTAAGATATGAATATAACTTCATTGGTTTCCAATCAAAGGGGAGCGAACAATTGTTGTCATCGAGTCGGCTGGTCAACAAGGCACCGGCACTTACATCAAAGTGCACAACAAACGCTTCATTCTGACCTGCGCGCATGTTGTTGGTCAAGTAAATGTACAGACATATGCACAGCAATATAAGCTAATTGAAACATTATTAATTGCAGCTAAACTCCCGAGTGCATTGCCGTGCTATAGATCGAGAATTCAAATCTGATGTAATTTGGTGCAATCCAGATGAGAATCGTCCCTACGACTTGGCTCTGCTCACCGCGCCTCCGGATGTGCCCGAGCATTATTGTGTACGCTTGGCGCGTAATCGTGCTACGTTGGGGCAAACGGTTTACAATGCCGGTTTTCCATACTATGTGAACTTTAACTTTAAGTACGACTTCAATCCTTCCATATTCCAAGGGCGCATTATTAAGTGTGATCAGGGCGCGCTTATGTCCGATGGCAGCGTGCAGGCTGGTCAGAGTGGTGGTCCAATGTTTGACCAAAATGGCAGCATTCTCGGCGTTTGCGTGTCCAATATTAAACATGAGGAGATTGTCTATCCAAATATAAATACCGCCATTCCGACGTTCGAAATACGTCAAACGCTACAGGAATTCGCGAGAACAAGTGGTGTGTAGAAAGCATAAGTCTACGAAGCGTGTTTACTATATCATTTTCGCAAATTATTTTTAGATATAAAGGTGCTAAACAACCTTGTTGCAAGCCAGGATGTCTGCCGAGTCTGGTCGCTGGATATGCCGCCCATCCAAAGTAAACTTTAAATTGATTTAAACTTGTAAAATGTCCATATATACATGTTGTTTAGGGTATTAATTGTTACAGTTATTTTGTTTACTTATATTAAGAAAAATATATAATGTATAATTTTTTAAATAAAATATTTTTGTATTTGAAATTGTGAAACGGTTAATTCTTATCCAAGCAATCATTAACATGACTTTGCAAAACAGTCAAAGCGTAAAACGATTTCGAGCAGATGGGACATCGCAATGCAGAATCCGAAGTCCTAGCGGCTGCGCCTGTTGGATCTAAAACCTTATAAAAGTATACCAAAAATTAGTTAATACCGAGGTGTGCGTAAACTCAAAATTATTTCATACTCTTACTGGTCTCTGCTCGTCTCGCAGGCTTTTTTTGCTGGCGCCTAATGGAGTTGAAGCATAGCCGGCCTTGTTGGATTTGTTCGCTTCAGCTAATGCCTCGATTAGCTCTTGATTGCGGCGCTGTAATGCGCGCAAATCCGCCAGGTACTGTTCCTTTTCGCCAGCGTTCTTTTCACGATCAGCGCGCTCCATTTCGAAATCGCGTCGATAAATATCAATTTGTGTCTTCAAATGTGTAATCTCATCATCTTTCTGTGCATCTTTTGCCTTTAACGCGTTGACATCGGCACGCATGACATTTAACAGCTCCTCTGCGCTGGTTAAGTTCACCTTCAGGCAATCTATTTCGTCAACATAGGTTTTTTTCTAACAATTATACAGCAGTTTAGTTAAATACGATTGGAATATAATACTCGGTACAAACCATGTCCTTAAATTCCAGATTTTCAGCCAATAGTGCAGACATCTGTCGCTGCAGATCTTTGACCTGGCATTCATGTTCGTCGGATTTTTTCTTATAGTCCGGCTCGACAATACTCTCATCAGGCACATACTCGTAAGAATTCTGTAAATGTTGAAATTGTTTGCTTTGTGACTAACAAGTAGACTACGCATAAATATTAATGCAGAACTGTATCTTATCATGGTTTGAGTAGAACGATAAGAATTGCAGTTGTGTATATATATTATGGGGTACTGCTAATATTAGGTGGCCTTCGAGTAGTTACCAGTTGGTGCTTCTGCAGCCTGTCAATTTCTACACGCATGTTGTTGATCAACGATGATTTTTCAGAAACACTTTGTCTGAGCTCATCGTGCTCTTTCTGGTGTATATCTTCAACCAAATGTATTTGTTCCAATTTCATTTCTAATTCTCTTTTCAGCTGTTGATTTTCCTCGTTTATCTTGTCGATCTGTGTTTGGCATTGCTTCAATTGCTCCTGATAATTTTGCTCTCGGGAGGCTGCTTCCATGCGCCATTGCTGTGTAATTTTGTAATATTCCTGCATCGTGTGCGTGACTTTATCCAACGTTTCTGCATAAAAAGTTATTTCAGATTTGTGAATTAGATTTTAGCTAGCATCTACTTCAAGACCTTACGAATTAGAGCGCTATGTATAAGTGTATGAAAAGGATTACTCAAGTTTATAATATATAAAAATACAAATCTGTGTTAATTTAGGTATGGAATACTACTTATACATGTCCATTGTCCTAAATGTAAACAGATTTGCACTTTTATATAGCACAAAATGAATAATACTGGACATACGTTTTAATGCCATGTAATCGGTCATCATCGTCTGCAGCTTGACGACATCCTCGGCGCAGGCTTGCATCGAACAAAGGCTGGGAAACTGCGAGTAAACACTGTTCTGCTGGGCATAAGTCAATCATTTAATTCGGAATATATTATAAAGTTATAATGGATGCATACCTTAAGCACATCGGGATTTACCTCGCCCATTAGGAAGCTTGCTGCCAACGAATTTTGCCCAGAAGGCAATGTTGCGGGCAGGCTTCCCTCCATGGAATTAGCCTTCTGAGTTATAGCGCTCACTTGAGTGGAGCTGGTTGGGGTTTCAACAGCGACCGTCATTGGTATTTCTTCAGCTTCCTCAGCAGTTCCATTTTCTTCCTTGTCCAATGCATCGGTTAACAATGAATTGCCGTGCGAGCAGAGCGAAGACAACGGCGAACTGCCCAAAATAACGAACGAGTCTTCTTCGGACATACCGTGTTTACGTTCGATCTGATACTGAAAATACAAAAGCGTTCGAAGTCAAACCTATATTCGTGTGCAGGCGATATCAAGGGGGAACCCCCGTTTTGCTAACATATTTATGTAGACTTGCTGTAATTCAACGTCACACGAATTAATCGATAAATAGTCAACTATGACCTATACACCTGAGTGCCCAGCCGATTTGTGTTTTGGCAGTGTATATTAATACATACAGTTACATACATATACAATTGTAGTTTTATCTAGGCTTCTTCTTCTAGGCTTCCCCGCCTGCTGCGTCATAACAAATATTATTGATATTACTCATGTACATTTTATACGAACCTTATCTGCAATGTTTCCTGATAAAATTCGACTTTCTATGCCTTGATTTCGTTTCTATTGAGTTGCAGCTCAATTAGTTACTTTTATATTTGTGCATTTTGTGGATTCTTCCAAAAGTGTGACCAGAGGAAATTAGTTGAACAGCTGTTTGAATGCAGCCCTATTTTGAGTTCATATAAGAAAAAGTCCTCGTGCAATTTTACAACACTACACAAAGAGTGCCGGTTGTCGGCCATTTTTTCAAATTAATTTGATATTGAACATGACAAAGAGCTTTGCTACCCGTTGACTTATTAATTAAATTATATTGCGAAATTCACTTTTAATAAAGCGGTCTTGTATCAAATCACTTTAATCAAATGAATTAATTACCTAAAATTGTATTTACCCAACAAACATTTAATTTTCTGATATTATTATATGCCCTCGCATATTTCCTTTTGCATGTACAAAGTCAGCTTTGGGATTGACCTATGAACTAAATTAGGTTTTCAAATTAACTTTCAATAAAGCTGTATTTTATTTTGTCACTGAAGCCGAAAGTATTTATTAACCAAAAATTTATTTACACGACAATCATTCAATACACTGACTCTACCCATATCTATTTTAATTCAAGACTGTAATATCTGCATGAGGTTATTGTAAAGATAACTTGAACAACTGAAAATAAAAATATATGTTATAGGTATTAGAGTTTGGTTTAACAAATAAATCGGGCTTACCTGCTAGATAAGGTAAAAATAAAAATACATATGGTAGAAATGAGCTTAAGATGATGCCAGCAAGAAATATTAATGCCCAGCTCTAGACAGAAAACAGAAACAAGTAAGAACATTTCAGTCGGATACAACTGACTGTGCAATACTCTGCTCACAGGGTGATAAAACTTTACATTGCGCTAGTGTCTCGCCGACTGTAAGCCCAAGGCTTTGACTTTCAAACTGTCAAAAGAAAATATTAATTTTTTACAATTTGAGGAGGCGGTGTCGGGTTTAGCCATAACATTTTTGGATAAATCCAATTCTGATACGAATAGCAAGATCACCAAAACACAATATTTATAAACTCTTTTTCACTCTGTGAGCAGAGTATGAAAACTGAAAAGTACCATAAATATTAAGCACTTACTCTAAGAACGCCCAGCAACAAGATAATACCGGCCAATATATGCATGCCTACTAAAAAGTAACAAAAAAGGATAGTCCAAAAATCTTTAAAATGGAAGGCCGACTTTCTTAGTATACTTTTGATACAAATCCTCGATTAACAAACTCACCAGTTCTAATAAAAAGACAAACGATTATTGCCAATATGCCATTTACAATTGTCCAGATTGAAAAAAACAAGGCTTTTGCCTTTAGCGAACAACAGAGGTTATCCATACACTCACAGCTTTCACAAAGACACATCCTGTTTATCAAATTTACACTTCGCGATTTCAGATACGTTTTACAATTTAACTTAATTGTATAGATTCAAACATAAATACTAACAAGTTTTCAAATGCTTAGTTGATATCCGATTGAGTTGAGCCAGCTTCTAGGTGGGCAGCTGCGTGCGACAAAGTCTTGGCTGTTCTTTTGCGGTACAGGACGCCATTTTGTGTATCCTGTCATAATTTGAATTGCCGCCAGTGTAACAGAATCTTTGTCCAAATGAAATTAGTGTTAGAAACGATTTAAAGTTGTGTTTTTTGATCTTGTGAAATTCAGTTTCAAAGTGTTGCCAACGGGCAATGTCACGTTTGCTTCAAAGAGAACAGTCACACATGCAAGGATTGCTTAATGTGATTATAATTTCCATACTTTTGCTGCTAGAAACAGTTTGATCGAAGAGAGCTAAATTAAATCGAAATCAGTCCTTAAAAATATCTATTGTATAGTAATTCATAGCAACTGTTATATCCATGCCACCGGCTTTTTCCATTATAGCTTGCCGGTTTCTTATAAAATTCTACTTGTTGAGGTAGCTTCATTTAAGTTTTTGTATTTCCAGGGCTCTTTATTAAGTGTGACCAGAGTGAATTTAGCTGAACAGCTGTTTTCTGTTAGAGCAACTAACTTCATTAGCTTGAAAGCCACTTGCGCAGTTTTACAACACTGCACAATACGTTACATTATGAAGTGTACCAGTAGGTCAAGAAAAGATATTAAACTCTAATACTAAAGTTCATAGTAGAAAGAATTTTGTTATAAAAATGTATAGCTATACAAAAAAAATAAAACAAATGAGAGATACAATTATTTATACACTCCCATTTACAAGTCCCTATATCGAATTAATTAATTATGGAACAAAGCAAAGGGCAACCAGATAAGCCAGTTTTGTTTTGCTTTGTTTTTTTTTGGCATTACATGGGGATTGTAATTACCAAATTTGTTTCTAATTGCTGGTATTTCAGAATTGACATCATTTCAAGTGATAAATGTGATTCAGAACCGGATTCGCCTTTTTTGGCACATTTTCATTGTTTCCATTGTTCGGTTTAAAGTACACACACACACATATTTTTTTTTATAATGTGGGTTAATGAGGCGCGCGCGTGATTAGAGTATAAGGAACTGGATTCCGTCTGAAGATGCTTTGTTATCGCCACTTTCATTGCATAAGCATTAGCATTATCGCATATATGTGCACAGATTTATGTGTGCATAATCGTTTCAAACTGGTTTTCTTGTCAACTTGTCAAATAAAAATGTGTAGTATTTATTTACTTGATAAGAATCTCTATTTCAGCTTATAGCTAATGCACACAAATAAATAAAATTATAGAAAAACTTAAACGTTGTTACATCAATTGTACAAATACGAAATTCAATTAAAGCTCAAGCACACAAGTCAAATATATCACATTCAAAACTCTCTCAGACACCCCAAAAAAACACACTCAATCATTATGCTTACAGCTAACTAGGATCTAGTAAAGATTAAACTGAATGCCGTTCCGCCCCGCATTTACGCCTGCCCCTTGCCATAGTAGTAGCCGGCGCTGGCCAGCGGCTGTGACTGTGTCTGTGCCTGGCGGAACTGTCGTCGCACCTGCTGTGGATGCGGCGGCTGCAGCTCCCGCTGCAGTGCAATCGCCGCAAAATGTTGCTGCTTGAGCGCGCTAATTGTGGCTATTTTGCGGTGTCTATTGGGACGCGCCAACCGATACGTTTCCAGATCATCGTCAGCCGGCAGCGGACGGTTTTTATCCTCCTCGACGGGCGTGCCATCGGTTCGCAGGCGCATCACCAGCGGCCCGCTCAGATACCTTTGCGGCGGCTCTGCCGTCAGTGCGGCGGCAGCGGGCAGCTCACCTGATTGCTGCTGAGCTGTCGCCTTTGGCTGTCCGCCGCCGTAGCCGTAGGCCATGTCCATGTCCATGGCATATTTGTGCTTATGCTCGCTGCCGCTGCTCTCGAAGAGCGGATTCTGCTGCTGCTGCTGCTCCTGCTGCTGCTGCTGTTGTTGGGGCTGCTGCTGATGCGTGAGTATGATGAGCGAGGAGGCTGGCGGCGTGGGCACCGGCTGCGGTTTGCGTGTGGTTATCAGCATGGCGCTGGGATGATCCCGCATAATCGATGCCCAGACTACGGAACACAAGAAGAAGAAGATAGTAAACAATTAAAATCACGTACTCTTATCGCTATCGCATATGGCTTATATCTATATGCATAGTTATAGAAAACACGTTTCGGTGCCAAAAACCCAACAGCACCGCAATCCACCACAAATCCACGCCAATCCGCAGCTGCTGTTTGGGAGTTGTTATCGCACGCGGAACTGCATTGTTGATTCCCACGCTTCTGCTTTCGGATTCGATCTGGTATTCGCTCATAAATATGCAATACTCACTTAGCTCATTGGCATCGCGCTGGTACGGATCGAGTGCCTCCAGCTGCGCATCGGGGAATGTCTGCAATTTCTCATAGCCATAGCCGAGCAAATTGTGCTTGCACTGATTTACGGGAAGACCGCCGCCCACCGTTGTCTTGCAGTGCACGCTAACCAGCTGCGCGAACGTCGAGTACAGGTAAGACATCTGCGGAGAGAGAGAGATAGAGAGAGTGAGATGGGGCGAAATTAGAGATAGATTAGAGACTGGATTGGGCAACAGCCTGGGGCAACAGTGCGTGTGAGTGATGCGCTCAAATGAAATGCATTTCAAAATGTATGTCGCGCATTATGCAATCCCCGCCCAGCTTGTGTGGGAACAAGGGGGCGGGGTCGGTGCAAGGGCTGCTCCAGTTTTATTTTTTTAGCTGCGATTTTTTTAGCTTTACGGTTCAGCAGACAAAGCAGCGCATGGCCCAAGTCTGGCTCGCTTTGCCCACGTCTCTGCCATTCTCTGCGCTCAGCCAAGCGTTGTCTGAGCTGCTCCAATTGCAGAATATTCTAAGCCGGATGACACATACAGACCGCTCCGAGATTGCGATGACGCTGTCGGCATACGCGACAGCCATGCTAATCAAATGGAACACTTGATGTTAATTAAATATAGAAACTCCCCAAATCCGGCATTCCTGATTTATTAGCAGCCGGGCTTATTGCGAATTCGAAGGCAAACAAAGAAAGCCTGCAGAAATTTGTTGTGCTCGAAAACATAAATATTTGCACTGATTTGTTCAGAAATTCAAGTGAACAGAATTGGGAATTATTTAGAAATTATAGAGGAATTTTTCTATGCAAACTTCTTATCATTTAATTATTATCACATTTTAAACTGTTTTTAATATTGTAGCTAAAAGAGAAATCTTGAAATTTGGCCATAGAAATTAAGTTATAATTTTATGTTTTATATTCGAATAGATCTTTATAGGAATTATTTAGAAATTATGTAGAGGAATTATTATTATTCCATTATTTCTGTTTATTATTATCACATTTTAAGCTGATATTAATATTGATCTATTAATATTAATCTAAAAAAGAAGCCTTGAAATTTGACCATAGAAATTAAGTTTTAGTTTCATTTTCCGAATATTAGGTCTCTCAGAATTTGAGCGTTCTTATCTGTGAGCAACTCCTGTCTTTGTATTTGTAGGTCTGTTTACAGTTCTTTTATATAAGGAGCACCTTGAGCTGGTTCCACATCCAACCAAATAAATATATATATATATAGATTTGCATTGGCTTTCAATTGTAGTGCGACTGCGACTTCAATTCTTGGCTCTGGCTTTTGAGTTTTACAATTTAACGCTGTTTGCATAATGATATGCCCGATATGCACAAAACGCTGTCTCAAATAACAAATTACCGTTAAAGCCACAAACAGCAACAACAACAATGGCAACAACAATAATAATGGCAACAACAACAATGGCAACAACCTGTGGCGCATATGTTTATTGACCACAAAACGTGTGCAAACTGTAAAATGCAATTTGAGCCCAAGAAATATATATATAGTAAATATGCCACATCTATATATACATATATATATGTATATCTCTTCTATGCCTGGGCACAGCCAAATGTTGTGTGCATTATAAAACCGATTCGTGTGCAACACAAATTACTCAATTTACCCAGCATTTATTTATAAATATACAATATACCCGTAGGCTCTATATATATGTATACATATAATATATATGCACGTCGGCGCAATCAGATTTGTGTGCCTCTTTTTTTTTTAGGGTCCAGTCCCTGACACAAATACTTAGTCAGAATTGAAAAATTTAAGGCGGCTGTTGTCACATATCTCTATAATATATATATGCTTGATCTTAACTTTTTTTAAAGCCGGCAAATAACTGAGATCGCAATTTGCGGATCCGCCTGGCGGTTTGTTATTTATTAACAGCTCGCTTAATGATTAACAACCTGACATCAATTGCAATTAATTAAGAAGAAAAAACATATTTTAATTAATATTTTAAAATGCAGATATGCATATGTGCCTGGGAAAGCTGAGAAATGTATAAAAAAAACACTAGATAATTTATCAAGTTTTTATTTGAAAAACAAGTAAGAGGTTCTCGTCGGGAGCTTCGGACTAGGGGATACCCTGAACACTCTTTTTCCGACAGGCGATAGGTATAAAATGAAAAATACTTGAATACTATTCTAGAAGCTACATGTCGAGTTTGGTAACTCTAGCTCGTATTATTTGCCGAAACTGCTCAAAAAACAGGATTTTCGAATATCGGAAACCTACTCGATCTGCGCGTGTACTAGGAGGACCTATAGCTAAAATTTGAAGACTCTAGCTCTTATAGGTTCTGAGATCCCTGTGTTCATACATACGGACAGACAGACGGACGGACGGACGGACAGACGGACAGACGGACTGACGGACAGACATACGGACGGACAGACAGACGGACATGGCTAGATCGACTCGGCTGTTGATGCTGATCAAGAATATATATATACTTTATGGGGTCGAAGATGCTTCCTTCTGTCTGTTACATACATTTGCACAAATACATAATACCCTTTTTACCCAGTTTTAATGGGTTCAGGGAATAATAATACATTGAGCAAGTTTTGTTAGCAACGCACTTGACCTTAAAACG